GCGACAGTTGACTCCTCCCACACTAAGAAAACAGGAGGGGAGGGGTCAGCGGAGCTCCTGTGTTGCGGAGCAGAGAGACACGAAGTAAACAAACAAGCAGGAAAATGAAACTTATCGGCCCCTTTTTTTTTACCGACCTCAAAAAAAGTTATCGTGCGATTAATTGATTTATTGACTATCGCGACAGGCCTAATAAACACTATCTGAAACAAAGACTGGAAGACAGAGGTCCATTTTTCCTGTAAACATAAGGGTTATTAAATTAAAGAAGGGAACATGGTTCTGTGATGAAACTGGAAACTGAACTTCTACAAGAACCAAATTAAATGATATAAACTTAAGTGAATTTGTTTTTAACTGCTAAACAAAGCAACAAGAACATGTTTTCTTGTGTTGTTTTGGTCCATTATGTTCTAATTCTAGATTTTGAAATCGGGATACATTTAGTCACAGACATTAAACAATTTAAATAATGACAAAATTCTATACAAATGCAGTACTGCAATGTAGAACTTCCAGCATTTTTAAATTTCTAAAACCTCATCTCAGGTTGTGTTAGGTCAAACTCTAGGATGACGTTTGTGTATAATCTCAACATGTTGACATTTTAAACAAACTGAGGCACCTCACAGATTGTCATTTTTCTCAGACGCCCGTGGACTGATCCGCTGGATGCTGATGGTCAACCCTGAACGCCGAGCCACAGTGGAAGACATAGCCAACCACTGGTGGGTCAACTGGGGGTGGAAGAACAGCGTGTGTGACTGCGACACCCAGCGAGACCACGGAGGCTCACCCATGCTGGCCCGTTTCATCGACTGGCAGAACCGTACCGAGCCACGGGGAACTGCAGCAAAAGCTGCTGCCATGCCCAGTATACTGCGCCAAAGGCCCAAAAAATCGAAGAAGGAGAATGTCGAGGTTGAACAGTCTCATAGTGGAGCCGAAGACAAGCCAGGTTTGAAGAGACCCAAGGGCATTTTGAAGACCAGGGTCACTGAGGGACAGCAGTCTGCGAGTCTTGAAGAAGGGGAGCTGGGTCGAGCAGCTCTGCCTCAACAAGCTGAAGGTGGAGAGGAGGCATCCAGCCCAGACAGAGAGGAAGAGGAGCCCACTCTGGGAGGGGGATCACCAGCTAAAATGGTGCCTTCCTTACCTAAGAAAGGCATCTTAAAGAACAACCAACAGCGGGAATCAGGGTACTACTCGTCCCCGGAGCGCAGTGAGTCCTCGGAGCTTTTAGGGGGTGCCAGTATGTCTGTGGTAGCTATGTCCCCACCCAAAAGAGCAATGGGGAGAAAAGGCATCCTGAAGAGAAACGGAAAGTACTCCACCTACAGCGGGGCACCCTCTTCAGCAACATCCATGGGAGTCATCGGTGACCCTCCCCCACCAGCAGACTCAGGTCTGTCGCGCAGTCAGAGTCGTCCCTCCAGTATAGTGGGGGAGGACAGCTCCGTCCTGTCACTGTCACCGAATTCCCTCGGCGGCGCCGAGTGGCACTCCTCCACCCCGCACCTCCGCCCAAACATCAGGGCCTGCGTCTCTGCTGAAAACCTGCTGCAGCTCGCCAACTTCAAGGGCTTCCAGGCAGCGCCGCCTCTTCAGGGACCTAAGATTAGCCGGGGCCCCAAAATAAAAGGCTCCCCGGGGGACAACGGCAGCTTCTCCTTGCTGGGGGATCTGGAGGACATGACTCAGGTGTACCAGCAAGCCCTGGACATCAGCAGCAAACTCACCTAAGAGACGGGTGGCAGAGGGGAAAGGAAGCGGGAGGTGGGGTTTCGAGCACAGCTCTGTGTGTGCATGAACGTGTGTGTGTATGTGTGTGGCACTAACGACCAGTGTGTTACTGGGATACACCTTTGGGAGGCTGCTAGCTTTTTTTTTTTAAAATTGGGCAGAAAAGTTGATGCAACAGATATGTCTGTGCTCACACGCAGACACACACACTTGAGTGCACGTCTCAGGCCAGCAGGTGAAAGTTACGTTTTGGTGAAGAGGACAGACTCAGAGCTGGCACAAGAGAATGTCACCCAGTCTGCCTTCTGGGCTCTGCCCGTAGGCTTTGCTGCGTTCAACATGTTTACATATTTTGGCACGAAGGCAAGTTTAAATCACAAACGCAGCAACCAGAAACTGGTTGGTTCTCTTTGTACACCACCCATAGGAGTTTACCAGAAGCACCTTAAAACTCAGACAGAACACATGCTTTTGTGATCTTTACTTCCTTTCTAAAAGAAGAAACAAACCAGGGTCTTGTTTTAAAAAAAACAATTCAATGTTTATTTATTATTAATATTTTTTAAGCTTTAGTTGTAGGTGTCAAAACTGGTGGGTGGCTAGCTGTTACTGGAAGAGTCCAAAGCTCCTTGTCTCTGATGCTTTATGTGAAACTGACATATATAAATATGATACTCAGTGATAGGAAACATTTATATCCTCAACTTATATAACTGTTTGCGCATGTAAAACCAACACAAGCAAACATTTCTTAAAAGTGTATGTCCTGTGTATGTGTATGATACTAGAGAATATGTAGGAAGTGCCTTTTTTGATTCATAACTGAAATTATATATGTCATTTCATTAAAGTGGAGGGAAAAGCCAGGCCACCCGGTAACCAGTTCTTTTCATTTTTTTAATGTTTGTGAATGTGGAGAAACCCAGAGCTTTCGGAGCATAGCTGACTCACTTATTTTATGGTTCAAAGGTCAGTTTGAGGAAGATTAAACAGTCTTATCTCCTTGATTTTCTCTGAGCATTTTGCAGGCCACTTTGGAAAAAAAGGACATTGGTTTTGTTGTTTTTATTTTTGTTTTTACCAAAGACTTTCAAGGTGTTTTCCATTGAGGGAGTAGTTCAAATAATTTTTTTCACCTGCAGCTCTTTTGAAAAAAAAAAAAAAAGAGTCAAGTCAGGGTGTTTTGTTCCAGCTAGCTGATGACACAGCAAATTCCTTGGACAAAAAAGCCGGAGACGTGTTTGTTCTGGAGATCTCTTATCAGGCCCCTAGACGACTCAGCACAGGTGGGATCTGTGGTCTCGAGTCCCCCAGCTGGGTGTACTACTTCATTATGTCAACCAAGCACAATTAGCTGGCTATTGTTTTTATTAGAGGGTAAGAGAGAGGTGGCGCGGCGAGATTTATAGCTGTAGGCAGAGGCGAAGTGTGTGAAAGAGAGATGTGATGCCAAGAATTGAGAGAGGAGGAGGAGGGCTTTTCCGGTGAAACTCAGGAAAGGTCGTGGTGCTAGATTTATTTTGTGAAAGGATTTGTAATGTAGACTAGTGAAAGTAAACACTAAGTTTGTAGATGGACTAGATGGAAAGTTTTTGTTTTGTACCAAAGAAGGCGATGAGGCTAAGATGAGAATCAAGTGAATTTAAGCGGGTCCAATTTTTCTATATATATTTTTTTACTTTAACTTGGGAATCCCTATCTGCGAGTAGATTTATCCCTACAATGGTTGTCCTTTAAATTGTACATTAGATGCAGGAGGATAAAGCAAACTAAAGGTTCAATGTTCTGTGTGGCTTTTAGAAAGTAGCAACGTCTCATTTTAACATCAACTGAAGTCCCGGAGAATCAAAAACTGGCCTCATTTATTAAGTTTTATCAAATGTGGATCGGAAATCATGCTTTATATTTCCCAAATAAAGGTAAAAAAATACATAAATCAGATCACTTGTTGAATGTTTTCAGTAGTCAGCTCATGTGAAGGAAACATCTTGGGTACTGAGTTTAAATGAAAGACCCACTGCTTATTATATTGTATTTTTATTGCCTTTTTTGTATTGCATCTTATTGTGAACTGGATTAACAGTGAAAAAAATTATACTATGTTAGTATTTTTGTTTTATTATGCTTCTGTTTTTGATTTTCCAAAATGTCAGAAATTTTATTTGCTTTTATGTATGGCTTAAAAATACTTCCTTTACCTTGAAGTATTAGAATTTTTCTATAAAAGAAGAACAGCAACAACAAAATAGACTGATCTAATGTGAAATTGGTGTTTTACGGTAATTTCATTTTCTACATGTTTTGGTACACCTGAGGGCTTAACGGCATATGAAAAAAATTCAAATAAATCATCCAATCAAAATTAAAAAAGTAAAATATGTATTTTATCTCAACAGTGTACTATTAGAAAACTATTTCCTTATTTTTATTTACCAAAGCAGAGGAGGTCTAAAAACATATCTTAAAAAAGTAAAAATTGAGCCAAAATAAAGCAATGCAAACAATCCAAAGTTTAATTTAGCCAAACTGGAATTAGATCATGCATATCTGTTAGTTAGCAGGCAACCTATATGAAAACTTGACTGGATATTGTTATGACAACAATAATAAGAAATTAGTATTATTATGTTATTTAAGTATTAATTTTGTTACAGCTCATTACTTTTGTTTCATTGTTTTTGTGGGATGGTATCAGGGGAGTGGGCTGCCAAGGTTTATTAAGTTGTGTGCCTTGGGTATTGTTCAAAAGTTTTAATTTTTTTAATACCAAAAATTGTATTTGTATTTATTGATCATGCCTTTTTGGACATTGTGTTGCAGTTTTGGACGTACTGCATACACTTTTTTATTTTATTTTATTTTTTCAAATAGAGTGGTATCATCTCAGTTGGGTTACAGTGGTTAACAGTGTGTTGTTAGGAGTAAGAAGTCGAGTTCCTAAAAGCCTGTAAATCGTCTTTGTTCACTTTTCAGGTCAACACAATGCCCTTGTACTGTATCAACCCGAATAAATAGATCTTTAAACTTAAGTACTTTTTGTCTTTGAGTTTTTTTTTATTCATTTGACGAGTAGACAAAGAAAAACTTTGGTAAGCCTTGGTTTTATGAAAAGAAGCAGCCTCAAAAGTTAGACAGAACCACAAATTTTCCTCTTCTTTCCATAAAATGTGTGCTAAACTGTCGCTGGGGAGATGTCCCGATTCCTTTTCCACTTTGAGAACATACAACCTAAAAGTCTGCCCATGTTTAAAAAGAGGTCAGCAGTGGTGTCCTCATTTCTTTTTCTTTTTTCAAATTTTATGTTAGAAAATTAGATTTCTAGGCACAAACGATTGGGTCAGCTGCTAAAAACAGTACAGGCCGTTATGACACAGTTTGTCAGATTTTATGTTAATGTCTCGGTCCGTGAAAAGCAGCCAGCCTGTTCAAAGCAGCACTGTCAAAAAAATAAAAAAGGGGGCTGCTTTGGAAGCTGTAATTAGCCAATCTTTCCACACGTTTCAGCATCTGTAGTTAAAAAGAAATTAACTTGATGGATGTTTAAGTGATACTCCACCCATGATCAACTTTTTAAAAGTCACTCAGCTTAGACTTGAAATGTGGCTGTGAAATTGCTAGTGGTTTTGGTCAGCTTCGATTTACAATTATTTCCAGTAGTTACTTTTTTGAATTGAGTAAATGTAAATTGAAACAACCTCTTGGATCGGTTTACTGCACTGCAAACAGTATACGACCTGGAAACACCTCACACTCACACAGAAAGGCCTCATGGTCTTCACAGAGACAGTCTTCAGACACCCATGCATGTCTTTTACATACAGTTTGAAAATTAAGAGTTTATATTGTCCCAGGAATCTAATGTTTTATAGTTTAGTTGACAGAGCTGTACCAGTAGTTTATAAAATGCCATCATCCATCCATTAGTTTATGTTTATTCTGAGTCAAGTCACGGGGTCAGCAAGTTGAGCAGGAAGTCCCAGACCTCCCTTTCCCCAGCCAACCTCTTCAGGCCAGCTGACAAAGAGTCTCCAGCATCTCTCGGGTCTTCTCTGGGGTCTTCTCCCAGTTGGACGTGCCAGAAGCACCTCCCTAGGGAGACATCCAGAAGGCATCCTTATCAGATGCCTGAACCACCTCAATCGGCTCCTGTCAATGTGGAGGAGCAGCGGTTTTACTCTCAGTGTCTCCCGGATAACAACTGCTCACCCCAGCTGTCCTGCTGACTATCTTGTATCCTCAATCTTGCACTTTCAGTTACTTTACAAATTTCATGGGTAGGAATGTAAACTGATGCATAAACAAAGAATTTCTCCTTACAGCTCAGCTCCCTCTCCATCACAAAAGTTTGCAGTACTGTGGAAGCTGCACCAATTCATCTGTCAGTCTCACAACCCAATCTTTCCTTACTCGTAAATAAAATTCTAAGTTACTTGAAACCCAATCCACCCTTTTCCAACTGAGGACTATGAATCACATGGACTTAACAAAAGGCAAGTCAGTTAATTATTACATAAATAACAAAAGAATCAGATTTAGGAAAATTTCTCTCACGTTGCTCCAGTTTTTGTACTGCTACACACAAAATAAA